AAATAAATTTTTTTTTTTGAAATTAAAATTGTTTTAGAAATTTTATTATTACTATGTTGAGGCTTATTGAGTCAGTACGTCTTGACTGGGTTTTTGTTTATTACTTCATCAGAATAAGCAATAATTGACCTCAGATCTGCATACCTCCCTGAGGAGCCTGTAACCATTCTGAGATTCATTTAGAAAATTTATTTTAGATTAAAATTGTTTTAAAAATTTTATTGTAAATATTACACCAATTGAAGAGGATTGTGCCGAATAAATGAATAATTCGAAGCAGTTACACTGTGGATTAATAGCAGATTTAAGCAGTCAATGAAATCAAAGCTTTTATCTAGTTGCTATGTTCTAGATTTCTGATCAAAAAATGAAATCATATCATTTTCACACGATTACCGATATCAAAATCGAATCACAGTGCACTTTAAAGACCATTCCAAATAAAAACGATTTTTTCTAGGATTGGAAAAAACATTAGTATAAGTATATTGGTTCTGGAAGGAAACAATACTTTGCTAGAATACTTTGAAAATAATGAAATAGATTAAGTAGATAAAGTTAGGATTTTTAAAGTTAAAGCAAGTTCACTTGATTCTGTGATGACAATGTTGTGATAATGTCAAGTTACTCTCTCAACTAACATCTATAGCCCTCATTTAATTGGGTATTACTGAGAATTGTACATATTGTGTTTATATAAAAGCAAATTAGATATATACCGCTAATACAGAAAGAAAAACGTAGAGAACTAAATCTCAAACTCAACTCAATTAAGTGGCTACTTAGACGACATTCTGTTATGTCAATCGAAAACAAGCTAATAATATACAAGCAGTTACGGTACTACGTTCAATTTAGGCCTACAGATCTCAACTCTGGGATTGCACATCTCACTCAAATTGACAGATAATTCACAACATATATTAAAACAACATCCTAAGAGCGATTATCAATGCTCCAGGGTATATTCGTAACAGCGATCTTCATCGTGATTTGATTGTTTCGATAGTTGCTAAAACAATCACATTCCAGGCTGTCGCACATAAAAAAGACTTGAAATTCACTGCAACACAGAAGCTTTATCACTTCTTCAAACAGAAGACCTCCTACGATAGCTTAAGAGACTCAAGCCATCTGATTTAACTAATTAAATCACATATTAATCATCATACTATGATATTATAGATAAGGATTAATATTGGCTATTTTAAGTCTCCGATGTAAAAATATTGCTAATTAGTTTTTATTTTTAACGCGCCTAGTTAGTTGGATTAAATAATAAAAAAAAATAAAAAATAAGTTGAGTATTAAAGAATTTTATAAACAAACTCAAGTAATATTCGTATGTGCTGACATGTGTTTATGAATGATATAGAGAAGTCCAGAGCATCGAACCGAAGTTTCTTCCGTTCCGGTTTTCGTTCTGGTTCAAGAGAAAAAAAAATATGTCAGTTCGGTTTCGTTTTTCGTTGCGGCAAAAATATTGGTTTTTTTCGGTTTTCGAAAATCATGCTATCATCTAAGTGATCATTAGATTCACTTTCAGCTTCAATAAGAAAATATTCTTCTATTTCCAATTCTAATGTACCTATTTACAAAAGAAATCATATTCGTTCCATTATCTGTAGTAATCCAATAGTTTTGCTGGGTATAAATTTTATATTTTTCTAAGACTTTTTCGACCATGTTCATGATATAAGTTCCCATATGTTTATCTTTCGATTCCATCATTCCCAACGTAAAGAAATTTATTTTACCGTCTAGTGCCAACTGTGCATTGATTCCTACAATTGATCTATTTAGTCGAGTAGCTATGTCAACTTTTAAAGAAATCATGTTTTTATCTAAAACTGTACGTATTTTAGTTATAATTTCAGAAGCCGTCTTAAGTATTAACAATTCAATGTTTTCGACATTAACTTAAAATTACCACCTATACCAGTCACTATTGGGTCCATTATTCGTTTGAATTCTAAATACTCCAACATTTCAAAGGAACACCCATTAATGGTTATAAGTTTTAGTCAATTTAAAGTATTTTTAAAAAAATAATTAAAAAAATAAATACTGAATAAACAGATGCACAGATACCAAACTATATGGTGCTGTACCGAAATAAACCGATATATTTTCAACGGTTCGGTTCCGGTTCGATGCCGTGGAGAAGTCTACTACGCAACAACCTTCTTTTTCGAGGTTTCTTCGAAGTCGACTTTAAGTAGTATTATTTCACTAATGAGGTTTTCACGATTCCACTTAAATTTGAAGAAATAATAATAAACCAGTGACTAATTTATTAAAAATTTTATATTCGGTAATTAATATAATCAGATATAAATATGATGATGTATATTTGAATGTGTGTTTTATTAATTTTCTTTGATTTAAGATTAGAATCCAAACGGAAATAAAAACGGATACGGATATAATAAATTTTTTAAGTAAATCTTTACACAATTATTACTCAATTTAATTTAATTTAAATTTTTTCGTAATTCGCTTAGTCGATATATGAGACCTTAAATCCTGCAGCATTAGTATGGAAACCAATGTAAATCCTTGGCCTTATGCTCAATTGACCGTTCAACTTTCTGCTAACTTTTCGATACATTTTGTTTGAGAAATTTGTGTTCTGTAAGGTGATGCGATTTTATTTATCTTTTATTTTAATTTTTTTGTGGATTTTTTTTGTGGATTTTTTTATTTTTTTTTTGGTATTTTGGATTATTTTTCCTTATTTATACATTTAAAATTTAAGTAAATTCAATACGGATGCGGATGTTGCTTATTTGCTTTGAATTTCCTTTTTCACGTTTTGTTTTACATTTATTTTTCGCTTTCTTCGCGTTGATTAAAATTCATTAAACGTTTACGAAAGGAATTTACGTTAAACTTTTACAGGTTTAATTCGTGCTCTGGGAATTTATGTTGTAAACCCCGAGAAAATAAATAAATTGGGAAAAAGACGTCCAAGAAACATTTAAAAATTGAAATAAAAGTCTTTTAGTTGATTTTTAGCAAATTAGTTTAGTTTTGTTGATTATGGCTTTATTTTATATATCAAAATGTACAATTAATCTCTTTTAGATTCTCTTTGAATTTATATCAGAATAATTTATATCAAAGGACTTTTAATATTCCGGGTAATGCACGAACGAAATTGGAAAATTTTATTAAATTTCTTATCTTACTTTGAATCCTAAAGAACTTTGTAAAGTAGCAAATAATTTGGAACTTTAATGTGCCACATGCATATAGACTTATAGGGTAAAGTTATTTGAGAAGAAACTTGTAAACTTGTTTCATTTGTAAAGGCAGTAAATACAGGATGTCCAATGTTTAACGTGATTATCTGCCGTGTGGACTCAACATCACGGTACTCAAAAGCACAACATCTTCATACAAAGCGTCAATCAGCGCCCCATTGGAATTAACTTCCGTCGGTACCAATAAAGAATTTGTGTAAGGCATTTCTTCTATCTTGGTTTAATGTGAGGTCTACCTACTGTCTCTGCTACAATTTGGGCTGTAGCACCCGGTGGTGAATATGCAACTTCACGCCGAATGTTAACGATAAACTGAAGCAGTGAGTAAAGAAGTCTCTATGTGTTTTACGTGATTCCCTGCAGTGTAGGCTTAACATCACGTTACTCAAAAGAAAACGTCTTGATACAATGCGTCAATAAGCGCCCCCTTGGAATTAACTTCCGCAGATACCAATGAAGAAATGTGTGTAGGTCATTACTTCCATCTTGGTTAAATGCGAGGCCTACCTAAAACTTCTGCTACAATGTGGGCTGTAGCACCCGGTGATGAATACGCAACTCCACGTCGAATGCAACATTATATATTCATTCTTCCCGCATGAGTTTGGGTATTAACCACAGCCACTACGAGGCCAACACCAATGGTCAGTACACCGAAGCTGCGGACCACTGACCCCGAAGTACCAGATCGGATCACATGTGGTCAGATGGCGCAAGTGCCGTGCTTACTCATTACCATACGTACTTCCTATACAAGTACTGGATTGGCACCGGGATTTTAGTCACCTTCTACGACAAGCATATCTACTGCGGGAATATTCTAAATCCCTTACCCGCAGGGGGCAAGCAGTAAGTACAAGAAGAGTAACTCGTTTGTGGGTAAAGAAGACAAATTATATGTTCTGTGTTGAGAGTAGCTTAGGTTAAGTTAGGTTACTGGAGCCGTTCGAAGACTAACTTAGAACATAAAGTCCATTGTGATATCCTTAAGAAATTGACGTCTTTCACTATACCCATTTAGTACTGGCCATAAACCCATTGACACGAGCTATGGAAATAGCATCTAGCTCTATTAATGAATTGAAAAAGTGCGACCTTAAGTAGGAGAGACTATGTCTAGCGAAAGCAGGACACTGTAACAGAAGGTGTACTGATGATTCCTCTTCGTCATCCTCCATGCAATGTCTACAGTGCAGGGCGGTCCTGATATTGAGCCTCATGGCATGTCCTCCTAATGGGTAGTGTAGAAAGTATGAAAAACTAATAAATGTAATATATTTTAATAATATGTGATATTTTTAAACAGCTAATGTTTAATAAAATATAGTGTTTAATAATGCATTAAAGCCAAAATAGTTCATGTTGTGTAGTTTGTGACATCATCCTAATGAACCATGAAAACACATATTTTAACATATACCCACACCATCAATTTTCCAGTCAAAGAAAGAGTTGGTGATCATGTGTTGTGACACCATGCACTGACTCCGAATAACTGCAATAGGTTTTCAACACTTAAAAGTGGAATTTCGTTGCCTCCCAAAAACAAGAAATAATTTAATAATAACATGCTTTACTTGGTTTAAGAAGTGGGTGAGACCGACTAGTCTACGGTAACGAATAGCTGTCTTAAATTTATTAAAAAGAAAACACTGTATCTTAAATAAGAATCTCTCAATAGATTTTTTGGACATAAACTAATAGGAAAAACAAATACAAACAAAATAGAAAGAGTAAATTGTGCCTCGTATCTGATTAGTGTTTATTTATCACTAAATAATTTGGATAAAAATCATGAAAAATTTTTCTTTTGATAGCAAATGTCAGACCCTATTTTCACCATACCGCAGACATCTGTTGAGTCTGCTGATAATTTTGCGGTTCTTTAGTTTACGTAGTGCATTTTCAGCAGCAAATACACAGCACTTCCAGAGCTTAATGGTTACTTGACAATTACCCAAAACTGTTGAAGATCAACTGGTGCAGTCAGTTCATTCATTCAAACTCTTGAATATTTGAACGTAGCCAATAGCGTTCACAAGTATACAAAGAAACCTAGCAATCAAAAACATACGTTGAGTTGGATGCAGGGTTCGGAAAGTGTGCCGACGATAGCGAGGTTCTGCATGGTTCATATATACCAGAGCAACCAAACAGACAAAGAGAACTTGGTTTCCGTGTGGCTCCATTTCTGAAAGTGAGAAGATGGCTTGATATTAAAATTTTTTAATGTTCTGTTAAAACGCACAATCTTTTGAAAAAATGTTTTTTAAAAGTATCAGGTCTTCCACTATTTGCAACAAAGTTTCAGTAACTAACTTATAAATTTAGGCACATGATTATAGTCAAAATTTTTAAAATTATTTTATATTTAAAATTTTTTGTGGAATTTACATATTTTTGTTAAAAATTGGTTAGTATATTGCTAAGCTTACTTATTTAAAAATATGTGCACATAATATTCAAAGTAATTAGCTTTTTAAGAGCCGAATCTTTAACTTAAAAAAAGACATATTAGTAATTGAGTTTTCGATCAAGTTTTTGTTTTAACAGATTGACTGAACCTTGTCAAAAATAACACAATTTAAATTTCCTACTCAAAAATTCTCACAACATCAGATTCTTGTATGTATGATCATGTCTACAAACACAAACCCATGCGGAACCTTACAAAAACAAACCAACTGATAACAAATTGCATGACATTGCTGGTCAATTCTTACTCGTATTATCAATATGAGAAATTACACGTCTGAACAGAGATGGCACTGTATTGTTAGAATGCCCATAGCTTCAACTTAATTTAAGATATTATTCGAAGTCTTATCGGTTTATAGTATGGTCATGCCTATAAGCACAAACGTTTTATATCACAAATCAGAATTTACGGTTTGTGTCACACTAAAGCGCGGTGCACACTATCATTTTTGAATGTCACTCAAATTACGCTCTCTCGTGCTCAAATTTATTCTGGCGATCGAACTTGAACATGCTCACATTCAAGAGTTTTTATTCAAGCAAAATTTTTAAAGAATAAGGTTGTTTACGCACGCTGTAAGTGTGTTTCGCACGCTGTATGTTAGTGCAACCATGCTAAAATAAGCTTTTGAATGAGGCTGCGTGTCATTCAAAGGTTCAAATTCTCATTTTTGAGTGTCATTCTTTGATTTGCTCTCTTGAATGACACTCAAAAATGATAGTCCGCACCGCATTTTCCAAAAAGCAGTGGCGTATGCTTCCGAAAAATTTTGCCGAAGGAAAGTCGATGTAAAATGTAGCTGCTATATGTTACAATAGAAAAACCATTTCGGTAGAAAATGATCCTTAGTTGGATCGTTGGGTAAAAGTTTTGTTTCACATATGTCACTAAAAGAGTGCTACCAAATTAGAAAAGTAAAATACATACACAATTATATAATCACAGTGTTCGATTGAAAAAGTACACTCCGGTTAGAGCGTTGGAATACTGTTGCTCTATATATACTATATGCATTAATCTTAAAAAGTTCAACATTATTAAACGAAGTAAAAATTTTAGGCTTGAATAGTTCAAGTTTTCGAGAGCGTACTGTGTGCACATTGTTACTAATTTTTAACATCTAATAATGCCTAACTTTTGTTTCATTCCTCCGTCTTTGTATATAAACTTTGGTTGCATATTCACAAGAGCAAACATTTAGTTTCAAGAATTGATTATAATTTAATTGCATATTTTTGAGCACTGCTTAAATTCCCCTGTAATACAAATTACTCGTCAGATATAGTTTTGTAAGCATTCAATACATAGTAATCTGGAAAAGTAGGGTTGGCAGAAGACGAATACCCTTTATATGACAAGCTAGGCGTTTACAAAACATGCTTTATTGAACCCACTAAAACCACCTCTAAGGAATGAAAGGAGAAGATTTCCACAGCAATGTAGAAACTTCATTCCAGTAATTATGGGAGAGAGTAATGAGAAAATAGATTTAATACCTAGTGTACTAGGCTCATCTAAATCAAAAAGCAATTTATTTACATGCATATATAGGTAGATAGAATTTTTTTATGGCGTCAATGAAACAAACAGTTAGTATTAAACCTAGGGACAAAACGATGCGTTGTAGAAGTATATAAAGTCAATATAAATATAAGTAAGATAAAAGGTTGTTAACATGCGACAAATTATAAAAAAAAACAAAAAAAAATTGCGTGATAAATAAACTACTTAGATGATCAAATATTTATAATATATTATACATAAAAAAAATGTATATTTAATAAATCAAGAACTATATATCAGTTCTTAGTAGCTTAAGACTTTAAATGAGCCATTTTGGATTTTATAGACAGTTTTTTTGTGTGTTAGTTTTACAGGTAGGCTCCTCTTTTGTGTAGTATGTGCGGATAATACTAAAATGGAATGCATCATTTGCCACATATGGTATATGCTTTATAAGTAAAAAATGTCCTGCAGTCTTCATATATAATAATTTTTTATACTAATTAATTTGAAATATATTTTCATCTCTAACATACACTGCATCCGCACTCATTTCCATTCTGTTAGAAATTTTTTTTTACATTTTAGTATGCTTTCATCACTTCCTTTGATATTATTTTTCATGAACTTATTGTTGAAACAATTTAAAGCAATGCAAATTCTTGTTTTTATTTAGTTTTGCTATAAATTTACAAACAATATAAATCACTTTTATGATGGACAGCTAAAATCTGTTTTGAAAACAACACTTGATATGACAAAATAAAATGAAATAAATGTATAACACCAGAGCCTTTAAGCTTCTCGAAACTTAGGACTTCAACGTAATTAAAACTTTGCACAAACTTTGTTGAGCTCTTTATGAAAAATAATCTGAATATTTTTTACTGTTACCAAAAATATTTCAATATTATTAAAATGGTTTTACACAAATATCTCCCTTATCAGCATGCATTGAGCCAATATAATTTGAATATTTTGCATGATTTTGCGCGAAAAAAAATTTGAAAATAAACAATATACCGAAAATAAATGGTCTGTATGAACTTTTGATTGAGCTATATATTAACCACTTTTTATATGAACGAGTTCGAAATATTCATATGACATATAAATATTGTAAATATATTTATATCTCCTTCTCATTTGAGCACAATTTCGCAAACAATTAATTGCCTATTAACCACAAATTGAATGAGATTTAATTATATTCTAATTGCATATTTTTAGGGGTCGTATCAATTACATTTTCATACTGCATGTGTAAGAATCAGCAAGAAAAAGGTTTAATTGGAAGAGGAGGAGGACAAAACGTATAAAGATATGTAATAAGATAAAAAATATAGAAATATAAAAAAGAGAACGCTAAGCTAAATGAAATTAATTGAAGTTATTGAAGTGGTAAAATACGAAGAACTCTTGTTGAATTACTTTAGGTTTGAGATACAGGTTTTGACACACTTCAAGTAGAGAGAGGTCTTCGAAAAAAGTTTGTGGCTTTGTAGACGATAAGTACTATAAGTTAACAACTCTTTCTCTTCTGCTTGATAGAGATCACAAAGATCACTTGATGAAAAAAACTCAACTAAAAACAAAAGTGGTTTTGTTTTTGATTTTTTAGATTACATTGAAACTGCTGAGCTCAAATCTGTGATCTGGGTTTATCACAGGTTTTATGGCAGTAATAAAAAGCCAGATAGGTTAGTTATGTTTTGAAGTTTTCGATGCTAATGACTTTAGCAAGATAGCTGACCAAATATACTCAAAATAAGCATGAAGGGAGTGTGAGTAAGAATTTAATTGTCAATATTTTTTTAATTTTGACAACTGAAATTTAGATCACAAAAGAACATAATTTTGTATTAAAAAGACAAAATAATGACATAGCATTCTTATATATAAAACCAATACGGAAAAGCGCTGTCTCACACGTTGTTTAAAGATTAAGATAATTCAGACACAAAAAGTTGAAATTTCTTGTCCACATATATTTTATTGGTTTAGTCGTTTATATTGTTTAGTTATCTTTGGATCGGCTGTGCTTTTAAGATGTTTTATGCCTTTCATATTTTTCAAGTACTTTTTTGCTATCGTACCCTACCAAAAATTTAATATATGCTTTATTATCGGGCACAATTTTCAGAAACTCAGTTACAATTTAAAATAAACAATTTTTATGAAGTTCAGAATAAAAGTAAAATAAGATAAAGAGATAAAAAAACTTTCAGAAGTAAGCAAAAGATTTTGTTTATCAAAAGTTCAAAAAATTTCATGTGTTTGAGAGAAAAAATAAATTTTTTTAGTTTGCTTGTAATGTTCTTTCACATTTTATTTTGCATTCGCAACGTATTTTTGTGGAAATTACATAATTTTCCAATTATTCAAATTTGATATTTCCCTACGCAGCAGCTCGATGGTCGGTGGTATTGTCAGCGCCATTAGGCGTTGCAAATCGCCACCATCCTGCAACTCACACCAGGAAACCGCACTGCCATTACTGTAGGCTTATACTGTAGTTTTCGTAACATTTTTCATTTTTCGTATTTATTTATTTATTTAATTTTTCTCCCTGTTTTTGTTATAATTTCTTTATATATTTTTGTTTTTTTTTTGTCAAACTTTTGGTGTTTTCCTCCCAGTGTGAAATGTACAACACAACTCAAACAAAAAAAAAATTAAATAAAAGCATTAAATGAAATGATGCCAAAGTGTTTTAGCGCAAGGCTGATTGCCCCTAAAACCATGCAAATTAAATTTAATGGAAAATTTATTTTGTTTTTAATTTTGTTTTATTTTTTTTTTTTTTGTGCTTGCTTTGATGTCGTAGTCTGGTTTTTAATGTTTTTGTTGTTGTGAGCTATGTTTTCCTACTTGTCGACATTATTTTAAAAATAGTTATTCTCATATTAGCCATAAGCCGTAGTTCAATAAGGTCAATAAATAATACAATAAAAATTTCAGAATATATATAATTAATTTATAACAAAATATTGATTTAAAGTAAATAAATACGTTTATTGAATTCTTAAAATTCTGTTTCATAATGTTCTATGTTTCATTTTAAAACTGGGTATTGTATACCGAACGCACTGCATTCCCCTAAGTGTCACTTGCTCTAAAATGTAGTGTCCTAGTAAAAGTAACTCTTGATATGAATTTTGTATTGAAGATCCACAACAAAAAGTAAAACATAATTTAATAAATTGCTAATTAGTTTAAGTAGATTAGCTGTGATTTCAATAAAAAAATAAAAAAAAATATTTTAATAAGTAAAATATTCTATGTTGCCTACATTTAGGCATAGAGTATAAAATAAAAGGGGAGAATTAATAAAGGGGGAAAAAATCTGGTTTCCGTCGTAGGTATATTTTTGGCAAT